AAAAAAAATTAAACAAAAAGTAGAAATTTTAAATAGTTAATTTGGTACTAATATCAATATATTTTTTTTTCAAATTCTTATGATATATTCATATTTATATCTTATGCAAAGGTAAAAACATTATCATTTTCTTAAAATCACATAAAATTGTATTATAACATCGAAGAAAGAAACGAAACATTAAAGTCAAGATGTATCTCGCTGCATTGCGCGAGTACCCTTCTAGTAATTTTTAATACATAAAGTACTATACATTTATGAACAACGTATTAAAAGTCTTAAAAACAACTCATAATGCATTAAGTACTACTACTTTATGCATTCAGTCTTAAAATCTCTTAATCTACAATTAAAATAACATATAATACAAGTTACCAATGCACATTTGTTGATCCTAGATCTCTCAATAACACTAATAACCTAGTTATGAATAACCAAATTATAGTGATTTTATGAAGGAAGTTATGAAGACTCGAGAAGAAAAATAAGAATATTTATGAACAGTCTTGAGCTTCAAAAGTTTAACTTTATAAACTGAGAAACGTAAGAGCGATTCGTAAAGCGACTCTTTTTACAATTGGTCTAATCACCTAGTTATACTAATCAGCTAATAAGAAGATAACTATATAATGCTACTTTCTAGCAAATCTTCTATTAACAGATAAGGTTTATCTTTTATATGGATAAGCGCTAATATTGAGATAAACTCGAATTCTAGCTGTTGACTTGTCATCTCCAGTTGTCATTCATGATGTGATGATTTCATCCTTATCTTCAAATCTTCATTGCATGCTTGGATGAAGTGTTGGAAAATCTTCTAAGTGTTGATGACCAGACAGTCGTTTCTGCCTTGATGTCTTCATTGGTCTTCTGGTTCTTCATCACTTATTGTTTTTCATTACTTTTTACATTATGAATTGTGGGGTTTAACAAAATTATTACATTTTCTTTTCATGTTTCCAAAATACTTTTGACATCTTTCACTCATGTCTTCACCCTGTCATACGTCTACGTCGTATGGGTTGAGATTGATGAGGTCGTTTTCGTTGAACACGCTAACTAGCCCATGTGCTCTCTCAACGGTGAACTCGATGTACCGAATAGCTCGATCGGCAAATGTCTTTACTTTCAAGTCTATGACCCTCCTCATCCCATCATTCGAGAAGACAGCCTGGGGTGCTTGTGTGGTCTGTCTGATGAATCGATGGTGTAAGAGGTCCATAGACTCAGGCGATAAGATTGGAGGGTTGGTGGACAAACTCTCATCGCAGTCTTGGTACATATATTGATGGATGTTTTCCATCATGACTGGTTCCCTGGGCGGCAGTTGAGGACGTCTCCTCATTGACTCCATGCTTTGTATGATTTCATCTACTAGGCCCTGTGGAGGTTGCCTTGAAGAAGAGGGAGTATCTGCATGCACCACATGTTGATGGGTTAAGGGTTGTGTATAGGTTGGGGGTTGTGTTTCGGTTTGGGTTTGTGTATGGGTAGAGGGTAAGGTTTCTTCGGTTGGCTCCGTTTTATGGGCTTGGGTGGTTTTTGGTGCATGGGTTTCTGTTGGGGTTTGTGGTTTTTGGGGCGAGGGTTGGTTTGTTATAGGTTCTGGTTGTGTAGAAAGGGTGAAGGATTGAGTTGTGCGAGGTGTTGGTGAAGGGGTTAAAGGTAGGTTTATTGTGGATGAGGAAGTGAAAGTTTGGTTTATTTCTGTTGGTGGTGTGGTTGGCTCTTCATCGGTTGATGAACTCAACACGATGGGTTTTGGGGTTGTAGCTAAGGGAACATGTATATTTTGTTCATCATCAGAGGGCAAAGCCTCTGGTTCCCTCGCTTGGGTTTGTTCGATAGAGGGTGGTTGTTGCGATGGTGATGGTTGTTGTGGTGCAGCGGATTCGGTGTGATGTGTAGCCGCCACCTCTTTCTCCCCCTCAAGAGGTCCAAGACCTTGATCATCGGGGTCTGGATCATCATGTCTTCGTCATTTTAGGGGGCGGCTAGATGAGCAGGAGGCTCTTGAACTGTTTTTCTTCCACAATCGAATGTGGTCAGCGAGAGTACACACCCGATCCTTGTTGCGTCTTTGTTCCATGGTGCGAAGGAGAGTTTTTGTTCGTTCTTGCTGTTGTTGAAGACTCTTCCTCAACGCTGTGGTAGGTTCAACGGATCGGGAGACAAACTTTGCACTGATCTCATTGAAGGATGAGATAAGTTCCTTGGATAGAGCCCGAAGATCGGCTCTGGTGGCAAAATTTGTGTTTGTAGTTGGTGGTGGTGGCACAGAGGGTGTAGCGGTTGTTGGAGGATGGGGAAGGTTTGCAATGAGATTCCTCACCTCTGCAGTAAAGGAGGAGAAGGCTTCATCAAAGGATGGGCCTGCAGAGGGAGGTGGGGGTTGACTTGGTTGTGGGATTTGGGCAAGTATGGTGGTGGGTAGTTGGGTGAGGGTGGTTTGTATGGTGGCCATTTGGGTGGTGAGTATTGCGAGGGTTTTATCGAGTAATGAAGTGGATGGTGGTTGAGGGATTTTGGAGATGATGAAGGTAGGTATCTGATGAAGGTGTCGAAGGATGGTTTGTAGTTGGGTAATGATGTAGGTGAGGTTTTCATCGGCCTCAGTTGCCTAAGCCATGAGGGTTGTGATGGATTGGATAAGGACTTGGTTTCTTTGGGTGGCTAGGGAGGATGTAGTATTGTGGTGTTGGGTGACGATTTGTTGGAGCATTTGTAGGTGGGTTGTGTTGGCTTGGGTTTGGGTTTCTATTTGGGTGAGATGGTGTTGGAGGATTGCAAGGGATTGGTGGAGGTCTGAGGTATCGGTTGAGGGTTGGTTGTCCACTATCCCTTGTATGAGGAGTTTAAGGTCATCCAAGGACCACGTCACTGTATCGACATAGGCTTGGAACTCTGCCTTTGTAACCAGATCGACTTGTTGGGTAACCCCTGCAGCAACGGATGCTGCAGGTTGTACCTCTGTTCCTGAGGTGCCTTCTTGGCCTTGTACGAATGTAGGCCTCGAAGGACTTCCATCATGTCCTTGATAGCCCTCGAGAGAAGAGCTATCTCGTGATGTTGCTACATCAGCTTCCTCTTCCTCGGCTTCAGAGGCCGAGTAAGTGAAGCGAATGTGTTTCCCCTTCGATAGATCAAATATCGAAGGGGAGGTGCATGAAAGGAAGATCGCTCTGAACGATCTATGGGTTCAACGTCAGAAGCAACACATGCTTCTGTGTGTGTGATGGGATGTGGCGAGCCCTGAGGCGAAGGGGCTCTTATCTCTTCATCACCTCTCTGTTGAGAGAGGGGTGATGGTAAACATGGTTCCTCGGCTTGTCCATCTCCAGAGGCCCGAAGAATGGCCTTTGGATGGATGGCTGGGGTTGGGGTTGGACTGGGTCGTCCTGTTTCAATACCCCTTTGGCTTTGATCGCCAGGGGTAGTGGATGTGGTTGCCCTTTGGGAAGTGGGTTGAGGAATTGTATGAGTAAGGCCAGGGGAAGCACGAGTAGCATCATCATCATCATCATCATCTTCATCATCCGATGAAAATGACGCTTGTGCTCCCTCGCTTGGAGGGGGACGGATCTAAATGCTCCGGGGTAGCTGCCCTCGGTTCTTAGGACAGCATGGAGCGTTCATAGGTCTGGCGTATCTCATTTGTCGATGGTATGACAGTGAGCATAGCCCGGGACAGTGGTCGATTGATGCTGTATCCCTTCTTCTAGAGGGTTGGTCGGTGTCCTTGCATCTTGTAGACCGGGGTGAAAGGCTCCGTAGCAGGTAGACCGTGCTTCCTCATCGCGTCCCCAATGAAGAGGGCGAGGAAGTGGGGAAAGAGAACTGCAGAGAGGGGCTTTCCTGCGGCTTGAAGTTTGCATTTTTTGATCACGGCCGC